ATAAAAATAGATAGTGTGTATATATATATATATATATATATATATATATATATTGAATGAAATTTCACCAGATCATGAATATAATTCTTTAAAAATGTTACTTTACCTTGTATTTATGGATCTGTTTTTAAGAAATGTTGCGATGTTTACAAAGTCAGGATTACTCTCACTCAGAGATCGTTGATGTGAGACGCATTGAAATATATGTTACGTCAGTTGTTGTACGGTTATGTAAAGTCACATAAAGTTGCAGTACACTCTCATGTAGCGCTGTAGGTGTCGGTTTGGTTCTTTTGGAAGAAAACTTAGTTAAAACATCCAAGTATTATTAATTGTTGTGATGGCCTCTAGATTTCAGTGCATATCCAAAAATCGCCATCCAGAAAGAGAAATCCTTATTTTTCTTCAGAATTACTCAATTTAATGCAATGTTTATACATAGGACGTGTATTTAAGTATGATTTCACATGGACTACACGGTTCCTTCCAAACATGCAGAGAGACTTGAGTGAATATATAGTTGCATGCCTTAACACTTCTAGTCCTAAGCACTAATTTATTGTCCTCCAGAGGGACAGTGCTAAACTGACTGTCCCTCAGTTGATTGTGTTGCATTGATTGATTGTACTGGATCCGTACACTCCCAGAATGCACTTTCAGAAACATCCGCCCTCATTTTAGATTGTAAAGACTTGTCTTATTGACCAGAATTGATGCCTGATATGAAGATTGAGCCATCAGTGTGTCCAGCGTAGTATTAGGACAACATCACTACCATGTATGTTAGCATCGTAGCTTAATGCTGAAGGGTTTTTATGTATATACCAGAAATACACTGAAATCCAAACAGGGAAACAACACTTGGCTACTACATTATACTGACGTGGTGAATGCTGAAGCCTGAAACATACTCTACGCAAGTACGTGAACGCAAGTTTCATCGTTTCAAAAGGGCCTTTCGCACCGCGGGAACCTTTTCATAGTACCAGAATTAAATGTGGAACTACCCACTTTTTGGCGTTTTCACACCGCCGGTGTTCTGACAATTTGTGCTACCCTGTCAGATTTTGTATCAGATTTTGCTTCCAGCATGATATTAATAAGGTGTGAGGCTTTATTAACATGTACACCTACCCCAACCCTAAACCTACCCTTACAGTAGGATACATACAGTGTGGGTAGCATAATCTGATAGGTAGCATTATTTGTCAGAACACCGGAACTGGGTGTGATTTTAGTACCGTTAACGTTGTTCTTCTTTGTTTCTGTTGTTGAACGCCGCGCACAAATGACGACGTTGTCGACCGGCTTACGTCACTTCTTAGTACACACTCTCGGTGCGAATGCAACCCTTTAAATGGTACTGGGAAATAGTTTGCTCAAAATTGTCCCAGTACTTTAGTACTGTACATTTAGTTCTGGAACTAAAGCGGTGCGAAAGGCCCTAAAATGTGCCAGATCACAGTTCTCTTCAAACTGTTGCTCTGCCAAGACAGTCATTGATGTGATAGAGAAACTTACCATAGAAGAAGATGCAGTGTATGCTATAGTGCCCCTTGTGGCAATACTGAGAATGTAATACCAATTACATTGTTATAAGCATTTGTGTTTGCGTACAATAATCTATGTAGACTATGTTTCAGAACTAAAAGAGCCTTTCCATGTCAGATTGAAGAAATCACCCAATTACCTGTTAACAACCCACGTTGTGCGTTGATCTCAGGTCATTAGACAAGTCACTGTATCTTCCCAGCTCTTGCCTTTCTAACATAAGTTCAAATTGATGTAGATTGTGTCATGGCTCTGGACACTGTGTTTACAGCACCGATCTTGAAGTAAAACTTTGCATCGGCCATTTAGAGGGTCATGGGAAATGTACATGTTCTGGAGTGTGTAAGTCAGGGTAAAAGTCCACTAACAAATGCCTTGACCAATCCTCTCTTTTAGTGTACTGCATCTTTATTTGCTATCAACATGTCACACTTTAATCTATTGTTCTATATTTAAAAAGTAAAAAAGAAAATCAGAGCATGACCGAAAAAAAAAAATTCTATGCAAGTGTTGCATGTGATCTGATTGTTTCTTTCGATTGTTTCTGATCTACTTTAGTACTGCATTGATTCTTGGTGTAAGTATTATTCTATTTAGTAAGACAATTCACCCTCTTTTATACTGAGCACAGACAAGGGGCTTCTGCCGCAAAGTTCATTTTCTTTGAGTTGCTCTTTTTCAATCTCATGGGCTTCAATACCTCCACTGTTATTTATTTATTTATTTTAACACTTAACCATAGCACATATTTGGATTGATGTAATAAAGAAATGTTCCAGGTTCAAGTTAAGCTGTAATACCACATAACTTCAACATTACATATAATAATTAGACTGAAAGATAAAATTGCTTACTAAACCTTATATGAAATTATATCTAATTAACTCCTGTCATGATCATGAAAAGCATAATCACGGAAAAACATAATCAGACATTCATTCGTATAAAGTTTTTTGTAATTGATATAAGCACTTTAACAAAACCCTCTAGAATGTTTTGCTCCATAGATTTCCGTTGTGGGTCCATTACTGTACATGTGATTTTTGAGAATTGTGTCAACAGAATTCAGCTTGTTTTTAACTTGGAACATTCCTTTTAATAGCATTGATCAGAGACTTTTATGTAAGTCAAGAACTTGCATTGTTGTAGTTGAAGGCAGAGAAAAGAGATGATTTATATGATCCACAATGCACAGTGTAAAAGAGCATGTGTACTGTGTGATAAACTGTATGAGGTTCTGTCACAGTATAATCTAAAAACAAGATTTGCATGTCTTGATACATGTAAATGTACATGATACAACATGTCCCCCCTATATCTGTTATGGCATAACATTGTTTTCTAGTGGACCAATACAGAATCCATAACAAACGCTGATTATTATTTTTTCTTTCTGAGGTATTAAGAAGCACAATTTTTACAATGGCTATTATTTGAGTCTTTTGTCTTCGATTCTGTATGCAATACAAACACGCCTTAGAACATTAACACTTCCTCTCCTGTGTAAGTAGAGAAAAAGATATTGCACTATTTTTTTCTTGACTTCTGCTTTGTAATGCAATAAATGCACTATAGGTAGAACAATAATTACAATGGACACTTAATTGGTCCTCAGGTGTGATGTAGGTACACACTTTCTCTCTCTCGCCCCTTCATCTTTCTGACAACACAAAACAATTAAATCCTGCCTGATGCTGTATATGCTTTCTATTTAAAGAAAATGCCACTAATTATAATAAAAAAAAAAAAACATTTTATGTACTTTTAACAGTCCAGTCGTGTCTCAATTGTTTAATCATTGCTCACATTGATTACAAAGGAGTTTTTGTTCTGTTTTTCTTTCTTTATCTTTTAAAAATATACCAAAGAATTACGCATCACTGCTGTTTTATCTTACAAAAGCGATCAACAATATTCTTAATCAGTCAGTTACAGTAATAATAGTTGCAGTAATATTACTTTTTGACGTAGTGTAACTAATTACTAATAAGATTTCAGTAATAATATTAATAATGTTCCAAAGACTCCGTCTGCTTCACAAAAGGTGCACTCATTATAATGATAAATATCATTAATCATTTTAAACTGAACTTTTACCTTCGGTAGAAGTGGAAGAGAGAAATCCTGTTTTAATTTAAACCACTTTATCTTCAGGAAAATCAAAAACAAGGGATCTCTTCTTATCTATAAGGGAAAATCTGTATTTACTAATGTTCTTAAAACCTTATTTTCACAGCGCTGTAGAACATACCAGAGATGATTCAATTACCTAATCTTCAATGCACCTTTAATCAACTGAACCAAACCAGCAGGAACAGCTTTCAACAGAGACATATAATTCCAGAGTACAAATAATACTGTATTTTCACAAAAATCATTATAACTAAGGAAATTTCCATCCCCATCCATAATGTGTACAATGGACATAATGTGTACCATCCAGTCCTGGAAAAACAGATTTCCCCTTAATACACTTATTCCACAAAGAACAATTATGTGACGAAAACTTGTGTTTGTATAATTTCCAATATAATACTACCCGACTGTGAAAAGATGATAATTTACACTTTAATTTCGATGGCTCAAAATCACACCTTAAGGGGATAGTTCACACAAAAATGAAAATTCTGTCAATAATTACTCACCCTCACGTCGTTCCAAACCAGCGTTTAACTGGCGTAAAATTACGGTTGAACCCCTGATAATTCGAAACTATTGCGAGTAGTCTTCGTTTCATGTAAGTGACCTGCACTCATTATTAATCTTCACAAAAAGTTCATTTCTAAATTTGTTTTTAGAACCACCAAAAGCACCTTTAAGTCGACTTTTCACAATCCTGTC